TTTTTTTGTTCCCTATCCTCCTCCTCTTCTCAAGCATCAATTTGGGCGCAAGGTACACATGCGCCCTCGGAAAGTACTCCCTGCAGCCATCCGCGCTCTTTCCTCTCTCCGTTCGCTAGCTTGGATCCGCGCTTGCTTGGTGTATCATTTCGACTTTCAATCCGCTTGCCGGGATTTCGTTCTTTCCCCTGATGCAGGCTCTTGGGCCGGAGACTCCGTTCGCCGGTCATGCGTCTGTCTGTATCTCTAGCTCGTCGCGCGTCTTCCTTCTTTCTCCAGCGACGGCGGGGCTCGGGTTTCGTGCTGATTTTTGCTCGTTGGCCGGGGGGGGGGGGGTGAAGGAGAGTGTGAGGAGGTTTCGGGAGAGGAGGGTGGGGAAGGGGAGGTGAACAGGTGGTGGGGGGAAGAAGGGGATGGATGGGGTTTGGTGGGAGGTTGGGGAATTGGTGGAATCGAGGGGTTGAGATGTGGTGGTTTTGTAGTCTGCGGCTTTTTTTCACCTATATGCGAATTGTATGAGTTGCAGGAATAGAAACTTTGGGGGAGATTATGTTTGACATGTTGGATTAATGTAACCCTGTCCTTGTCTCTCTCGCCATGACACAATTTTTGATTCAGTCTGGTTCTTAACATTTGTATAGGCTGTAATTGAAGATCCTTTGGCTTCTGAAGATCACTCCAATGAATCCCATTTTTTTGGTACGGCTGCAGTGCCGCGACATGTCCGCCTTGGACAATTATGAATTCCCCATCAAATAAACTATTTCTTCATCAACAATCCACTTTCCCAACTCATGAACCTTGAGATGCCTGTCACTCATTGCCCATTTAATAGCATTGTATTTTTCAACATGTGGGCCTGGCCCCCCTATGTGGTCTCATTAACCCGGGAGATTCAGAATCAGGCGTCTGCACATAGCAATGCTCCAACGCCGAGAATACCGGGCGATATCGCAGTCTACCACACTTTTCCCCCCTATACTCCCTGCATGTATCAGTGCAAATTTCTGCATTGACCTTGGAGATTCGAATAGAGCGGACTTTTTCCCTATTTGGTCCAGTCTACGTGTCGCTCTCGAATGTTGTGGAGAAGGTGAGATATCAAAAAGTCGAAATCAAAGACGTACTGAGTGAGGAAGATGTCCTTGATTTCGCAGCGCGTTTGCCGATAGGTGCTAGCTAGTCCGATCGTCGTCTTGGAGACATGACGGCAGGAAGGCCTTCTCCCCTCACTACGGTACAAAACTGGTTTACAGTAGCCATGTTTATCTAAAGTAGACTAAGAAGTAGTTTAGGTAGAAGAAGTAAACCTAAATAGGGTTTATTATACTATATATTTTACAAAAGTAAACTACTTTTATTTCTACTTCTATTAATCTACTAGTATTACGTAGTAATACCTAGTTTCCTACTAACTATTTAAGTATTTTACCCCTCCTTTCTTTAATCTTCTTCACCACCTCTATCCCTACCACCACCTCTTCCACCACCTCTATCACCTCCACCACCACCTCTACCACCACCTCTATCACCTCCACCACCACCTCTACCACCACCTCTACTACCTATACCACTCTATTATCACCACCTCCACTACCTATACTACTACCTCTATCACAAGAGAGAAAGATATAGGCAGTAGCAAGATCGAAGGCAGCAGTCTCACTAGCGTGCCACAAGGACGCATTGATACACCACGTAATTTGCGCAACAACGAGGAACACTTCAATGATTGACTTTTGTATCAGTATTAGAGGGTGACTCACGCCCGTGTAACGTGTATCTCATGTCGTAGTTGCACAGCAATGTCACTAAACTAAACACTTCCTAAACCAGACAACAGTCTATAATATTAACATTCATGATGTCTATGCAGCAATTGCCATTGTTCAAAATAAAATTAGGTCCCTTTTCAAACTGTCTTTCCTCAACAGGTTGTCAAACTGCCGCTCTAGTCGTTTGCCTGCGTGCCTGCCCATAAGACCATACAGTCATTATTCCAAAGCCAAAGGATTTGAATTCAGAGAAAACCACAGATTTAGTTTAACTAGTCATATTTCAAAGCAGTGTCCAAGGTTTTGTACTGACGTAGTCGAGTTTGTAAATGCCTACACGGCATTAATAAGTTGTTTGCTGAAAACTCAATACATAGTCTAGAAGATCAAAGACGCCATTTAAAAAAGGATATTAGCAAGACTACAAGCAAATACCGCATCTTGTAATAGTTAGGGGTCACATCTATTAAAACAAACGCTCTACCTCTAACATACAAACACCCTCGCCCTCGTACCCACCCACCACCATACTGCCACCCCACTCCCCAACCCAACCATATAACCCCCCAAATCGCCCATTCCCCCATCAAGCGCGCAACCAGCAGTTGGTCGAGAGGTCAAGAGCTACTCATTTGTTTGAGAGAACTTCCAGACCGTCCTTCACCTGGTTGCCCGTTCGAATCCCACCGAAAACCTTGCTTTGCGCAATTGCAAAAAAGACTACACGACTTATAGCTTTGCAGTGTGTATTGCAGGGTTTTGGTCGCTTCCCTTTAGGGTTGTGCTTTTTTTGCTGGGGGGGGGGGGGGGGGGTTGGGATGTGGACTTTTTTTTGGCTGGTGTGGAGTGAAGGTATGTAGGTAGGAGTTACTGTAGTCAAGTTGCTACAATATTCCACAATCTTTCTAGTTTTTGCCCCTAAGCATGAGTATATATTGCACCACAGCGCTTGGAACGCAGCTACATTTACTAACGCGGCAACTTAACTTTACAAAGCCATCATCGGGTGAATACAAGGGGTAGTTAATCTAGTACTTCTGCTACAAGAGGTGTTAATCAAAGCGAGCTAAAGTAGAGGTGATTAAGAAGGTGAATAGAGGCGTATATAGACACGTGCGCTGATATACTAGCATGTTTTAATAATAAATCATGTGTGGTATATCATATATAACAAGAGGAAGAATATAATAGAAAAGAGGAACATTCTGTTGACTAGTTCGCCACGATGATGTATTCGCCTGGGTAGAGATTCTTTTAAACACACGCACTTATGACGCACAAAACCGCGAACTCGCCGACATGCAAAACACCCACCCATGCTTCTTTATACTATGCAGATAACGTCAAGAGAAAAAAGAAACCCCCGATCGTCATTAAATCTCATAAACCCGTCATTCGTCCAAAATTCTAATGGCCCCCAAACCACCGTCCTAGGCCATGAGCCTCCAACTCCACACTGTGCCCCTGCGCTCCCATTGCATAAACACCAGTACCTTCTAGAGCGCCAGTACAACTCCTATCAATGCCACAAACAAAACATGTGTTGTGGAGGGCCGAAGCGGCCTGAATCCCGTTGACGTCGCATTACCGCAGCACTTGCGGTTATAAGTAACGTTGTTGGCACGAGCCGCGACTTCAAAGACGGAGCCGTTGACGGAGCCTTGGTTGTAGAAGTCCACGAGGAGAAAATTTGGAGGGCGATTCCACATAGCTAGGAGATTCATTAGCCTGATCTGTGCGAAGAGAGGAAATGAGAAGGGGAGCGGACTACATACCTGTGCAAGTATTGGTCATGAGTCCCAGACTGCCGTCGCCGGTGAGTCCATTGGTGTGGTTGATTTCAGCAACGTTGGGGACGAGGAGGTTCAAGCCTGCGATGCTGATTTCGGCATTAAGATTGTGGTTTGCCATGTACATCATGTTGCGCATGTGGTCTTCTGTGAGACCCTCGGGCCGTCCCAAGGTGCAGGGGAACTCGTCGCTCGTGGGCGAGAAGGGTGTTTCCCAGATGTTGAAGAATTCCCAGAGTAGATAGGGTACATTGTCTGTGTCGAAGTTGTAATCGATAAAGGTTACGACGCGGTCGTTGTTCAAGATCATTTCGCTCAGCGTGGGCCAGTCTTCCAGAGTCATTGCGGTCTTGGGGGGCTGGTAAATGTACTGTTTTAATCCAGACTTCTCGATTGGTTCGACGAAGTCGACAGAGGTGACCTACATGGGTTAGCTTCTAGCTGCTGATAAGTTCAGTGTGTTCTTTTGGGTGGAAGTTATCGAGCAGGATACAGGTGAAATGCTGCGTCATCGCCAAGGCTCTGAAGTAGCAAATACAATATAACAAATCATCATAACTTGGGGAACGGGATGAACAATGGTATCGTATACACACCAGAGGTTTGCCGTCTGCATCTGTGTCGGCCCAGTTGGAATTGCCGAACAGTATGGTGATCACATCAAAAGGATGCGCTTCAACCCATGCTGTCACTTCTACGAGATAGTCTTCCACAGTACCAGCATTTAGCAGGTCGCAAGAAGAATGGCAGTAGTATAGTGTACCATTAACGTAGTGTGCGGACCCTTGCAGCATGCGTATCCCATCATTGAGCTGTTGTGTTACCCCATATTCCTGGTTCCGCGCTATGTTGTTCGCACGAGTGTACGGTGAGTTGTGAGCGCAGACCTCGGTGATGTTGGAGTATTTTCGATTGCAAAATTCGGGGTAGTTGTTGCACGGCTGGGTATTCGAAGGTTGAGCTGGAGATGTTCCTGACACAGTTGCAGTTGCAGAGCGGGTCCCATTCCCGCCTCCAATGTTCGTTAGAGGCTTCCCACTTGAAGTCGTGGAGCCTGTGGCGTTGGATGAAAGAGTGGTATGTCCAGATTGCGCGGATGTGGACAATGTCAGGAATGCGGAAGTCTGAAAGTTTGGCGGAACTGTTGGAAGCGGAACTCTCTCGCCGCCGCTCAAGCTTTGCGTGCCGCTGATGGTAAGAATGAAGCGTGAGGTCGAGGCAGTGCTTTGAGCTGTGCTGAGGGCCGCGAGCCAAAGAAGTGAAGACATGGCCGCTTTCATGATTGTGGTAAGAATGTCAGTGGTGAATGGATGGAATTGAATGCGTCTAGCCAGTTGGAACGGTTTGCTGCTGTTATGAACCTCTGTCGTCCGTTGCTAAATATCTGTCGTTGTTCTACTGTTAATGCATGTCCTGTAACCTCTCCAAGGTGTCCGCTGCACGAGTGATCTGCCTGATAGGAGCAAAAGCCATAGAGACAAGTCTCACGCTTTGCCGTCACACGGCCGACAATCCTAGCTGACGAGCTTCCGAGAGAGCGAAAGACGAAGAACAGCACAGTTGTTGGGGAGAAGTCAAACAGATCGTTGGATGCTTCCCAACTCTCCAACGGACCCACCGCGATATCCTAATCGGGAAATGGGAGTGACGTCAAAGCCGCTAGGCCCCAAGTGGCAAGCCTTGCAAGCTTCTTTCAGCTGCTGCCGATCCTCGCCAACGAAATCAGCCTCGGTAGCCTACGTAATGCTGGCCGTGGATTCTGGCTGGCTATCCGAATGACAATGTCACTACACACCATACTCGCTCTGTTACGACAACGCTCTGGTGGATTGAGGACTGGTTGAAACAAAACAAAGTAACATACCTACATACATGCCTATGTCCCCAATGTACATGACAAATCCATGTCCATATCCTTCCTCAAGTCGTCGTCCTCCCATTCCCCGCTTCCCCTCGGGACCCCTCCGACAAGACCTCCCTCCAGCTTAGGATGAACTGTCAAAGAACTCTTCAAACTTGCTCTTGCCCTCTAGAGCCTTGATCTCCTGCTTCAACACATCTATGCGATAGTTCTTAAACGCCTTTTCAATCCTCGCCCTCGCTTCCGGATCCTTTGTAACCATCCTCGATGCGCTCGCCGTGCCCGTCAGGAGACCGAGCTCACCACCTAGAAACAGTCCGCCAACGGAGAAGAGGAAGTAGGTTGCCGCATCACCCCAGCGGGACGGGCCTGATATCTGCGCCGTGATATCTGGGATGGATTCTGCCCTCTCGAGTGAGTTTGAAGCAACTGGCTAGCTACCAAACGGGGCTCTCATAAGACCTACCCGTCCGCCCGTCTGCGAAGCGAACTTCGACAGGCTTTTCCATGGCCCTGAATGCGCGGAAGTAGGCCATGCGCATAGCCCGCAGTCGTATCGCAGCATAAAGACCCAGACCGAGACCGAGACCCGAGGCAAGGCCTGCGTGCATGGAGATCTTGCCACCTGCGCTCCTGAGAAGGTCACGATCTGATTGATTCAAGCTGTTGCCGATCAGTATATGGCTATGAGTCTTGTCGGGATTTTGTGGCACACGTACTCATGCTGAAGGTGTTCTTCTGCGAGCTTGTGCAGGTCCCTTGAACGGCGGTCGCGGAATGCTGCAAGTGATTCTGACATGTTCCAAGGGGATGGATGCAAGTGATCTGAGTGGAAATTGCTAATGATTCAAAGTTCGACTGTCTTAGTATGACTACCGCACTGTGTCTTGTTACTGTATGTGTGGAGCCCACTTGCCCTTTGTATCCCGCTCACCTGAGATCCGTAGCTTCCAGACTTCGCTGGTTGCAACCATGACATCATGCGGAGGTCGCGGAAACCAGCCGCCACTTCTCAGACCGTCACCACCGACGCGCGAAATGGTTGTTCATCATGACTACCATCATTACCATTGCTGTGGTACAAATGGCTTGCGATCAAGTTTCAAGATGGTGGGAAACTGCGTTGTACCTAAATTAGGACTATCGACCAATACCCTCTCTGCTCTTGACCAAAGCTACTAAAATGGTACATGTTTCCAATAATAAATCACCCCATTTCCTATTACGCCATGGTCGAGTACGCTCCCAAGCGCCCATGCTAAAGTATGCGAATACAAGCCAAGAGGCCAAATGTAGGTCTTTTGGGTATAAACATCATCGAAAACGAGAATGAATTTGCAGACTGCTTGCCTGTCTACAGTCTTGCCTTGGCTTCTTGTGCTACTGCACTCGCCTCCTGATTGAGGGTAACGTTGCCAGTGCTGGGGCCTTCGCCGAAGAAGATGACTTCGACCGTGAGGTCGTCCCTGTAATCAATTAGCTTTGACATTCTGATAAGCGTCCCTTGGGCAAGGTACCTGTATCGTCGGGAGAAGGGGCTCGTAAGAGTAAGGAGCGCGCTGAGTTGATCCTGGTCTTTACCACCTAACGCATTCCGTACAAGGTGAGTTGCCGCATTCTTGTCTTCTACGACGAACCTCTCGTTCATGCTGGTCTTGATACCCCATTGTTCTTGTCGGATCGGTGCTCGTTGACCTTCGCCTTTCCCGGTCGTTTTTTGCTCAACCGGAAGCTGCTTCTGTGTTGACCACCAGCTCTTCAACCACGATTGACTCTGCGATTTTTGGCTACTAGGGTGACCTTGCGCATCTAACCATTGGCCAACTAGGCCAACCACTTCCTCATTAGTCAACATCTCCCAAAGTCCGTCAGTCGCCATGACCACAAAATCGCCTTTCTCAGGCTCAACCTTGGTAGTAGTAACGATCGGCTCAGCCGTCACGTAAGGCGGTGTCTTCAGTAGAGAAGAAGGAGACCGGGCAAAATAAGACTTTTTCAGCGCATCTGTGGTCTCGAGTGACCACTTGTACGAAGCATCACCAAAAGCACGGGATGGCTCCAATCCACCCAAAATACGCCCATTCCGGACCACATTTGGCTCACCAGGGTGTTCCCTCCGTAATCGCTCTGCCTCGCTCGTGGTTCCACCAGTCTGGTCTTCAGACAGTGGGGTAGCTGTCCACTTTCCATTAGCGCCCCTTCGTCCAAGTACGGCGCGAGAATCGCCTGTACATGCTACTCGAAGTAATTTCGATCGGCTGTCGTAGAATGAGAGTAATGCACATGAGCCAGAAAGTGCGGGTGCAAGGAGCTCGGCGGCAGCGACCTTGGACTGAGCCTTCTTGACCTTCTTCACCGAATCGTAAACGATTTCGTTATCCAGGCGGACAAAGCCAGTCTTGATGGCCTTGTCAATAGCCTCGGGAGATGGAAAGTGTAGTGCGGGGTCCTCGACGGCGGATTTGTACGTGTTGTTAAGCTCACGGGCGACGTAAGAGATGAGTGTCTGACGAAGTTTGGCCGATGTTACCCAGCCACTATAAGAGTCAGCATCTTGTCATGTCTCAAGTGACCAGGCTTACCTGTGGCCGTCAAAGACACCCCAGAACATCCAGTCACTGGCAGTAGCGCCATTTTCGGTGGCCGCGACATTTGAAGGCACTTCGATGATCTTCTCGGCGTGGTCATCTTCGATAGGATCATTGCTGGGAATCTGAACTACATCGTATCGTACGACGCCCTGGCCTCGGCCCACAAGCCACGACTCCTCGTTCTTTCGCAACTTGGCTGTGGCTTGCTCAGGGTCCAGCATCTCCAGCACCTTCCTGCCGTAGTCGTCGGTATCCTTTGAGATGGGGCCAGTACCTGAAATGGTTCCTGTGTATAGTTCACCAGGTCCCACAACGAGCGCTTTCCTGGTAGGTTCACTGTTCGCACCACTGGTGAGGTGTCTGGCTTGATCGGCGGGTGAATGCGAATGGCGGGAGGAATCAGCACCGTTGTAAGAATAGAAGGCGCCCACAGCGACAGCGGCTGCTACCAGCGATCCCGTCAACGCGCGGTACTGCATTGACGATTTGAGGATGGTAGGCGAGGCGCGCTGCCGAAATTGGTGATGAGCCCGGAACACTAGGCCATTGCTAGGCGCGCAGACGCCGACTCGGCTGCGGGGGAGCTTGCGCAGACACGGGCGACGAGCAGAGCGCAGAACCTGAAACGCAATCCGCATTTGGAAGGTGGAGTGAAGGACTGAAAAGAGTGTTCGGGCAAACAAGTGACGCTGAAGCTGGCTGGCAAGGCAGGCAGGCAGGCAGGCGTTAAGGTTCACCCGAGACGTTGTTCCGCAGTCGTCACGCGAGCCAATGAGAGCGCACCTGTCGAACAAACGGACCATGCTTGTGACGACGTCATATTCAACTCAGAACTTAACCACAACTTCTATTTATCCTCACAACAATCATGTCTTCACGGGCTCTGAGACGGGCGCAACGAGAGCTTGAAGAAAAACAGATTCAGGAAAGACTGGCACAGGAAGAGCAAAATGACGATGAGTCAGAAGAAGAGATTGCGCCCAAAGCCAGTGCAAAGCCCAGTTTATTTGCTATGCTAGGAGGCAGTGGCGACGACGACGATGAAGACCAAGATGATCCAGAAGACGATGTTGGTGTCAATCCAGAGAGCCAAGACAAGATCGAAGTCGCGAATGCGCCCGCCAAAAAGTCGTCGAAGAAGAGCAAGAAAAAGAAAAAGAAAGCCAAATCCAAGACTGCAACTGCAAACCCGGACATAGGTGCTGCTACGCAAAAAAAGGCGTCGACCCTTGACGAGATTGATCAAGCGCTGCTTGCACTAAACCTCAGTGCCGATGGGCAATCGGGCGATATAACAGGCGAACAAGACGTAATGAGCATAGAAAAGCAGCAACTGTTCAAAGTTCTGGGCATAGACAATCAACACTTGCACGCCGCGAATGAAATGAAGAAGCTTTTTGGCCGTGCAGCTCTCCAAGCCACAGAAGAGGAGGCACGACCACGACAGCGTGGAGGGCCGCAAGGTGGTATCGCTGCTGCAGTAGCTGGACGGAATGCTCCTGGAAATCGAAACCTCGCATCCCTTGCTCTGCGACGCAACATTTTCATTCAGGGCAAAGATGAGTGGCCCCGTGCTACTTCTGGGGGACTTGGTATGGAGCTTGTAGAAAAGCGCGCGGATGGCAGTGTTGAGTACAGATTTGTGCACAACGGGATATATCAGGAAGTTCAGCGGCAGTTTCAAATATGCGTAGGGAGCATGGATCCCGAGCGCATGGTTCAGCTGTTACATCACAATCGTGAGGCATCTCTCAAAGCAATGGCAGTGCAACACTAACAGTCACAGCCTACCATATTTCCACTCTACTCCAAGTCTCTGAAATCGCAAAACAACAAAGGGACAATGCTACGGCGTCGGAACTTTTGGAACGCGCCCTCTTCACTTTCGGTCGATCCGTACATTCCACTTTCTCGGCCAATTTAGCTGCTGGTAAAGCCCGGCTCGACTTCCGCCGCGCAGAAAACCGCGAGTTCTGGCTTGCTGTATGGCGGTACATTATGACACTAGGTGTTCGAGCCACCTGGCGGACAGCTCTAGAGTGGGCTCGACTGCTGATAGCCATGGACCCTGAGCAAGATCCCTACTGTCTTCGTCTCCTCATTGACCAGCTGGCGCTAAGAGGTCGGGAACCTCAAGCTGTGATCGACTTGGTAGAAGCAGACTACCTACAGCGACTGTGGAAAGTGCCACCGAATCTTGCCTTTTCGGTAGCCCTCGCGCATGACCGCCTCAAGCAGCCCCAGCAAGCGCGATCTACACTTCGAAATGCAATCAAGGAGTATCCTTGGTTAGCTGCTCGGCTGTGTAGGGAACTCGAAATCTCTCCGATACCTAAGCCAATATGGGGTCGGGAGCCGAATGGAAACTATCAAGAGCTTCTGTGTCAGATGTACGTACCCAAGGCAAAAGATCTCTGGAACACAACAGAGGGAACCAGCCTACTTGTAGAGGTCTGCTACTCATTCGAAGAGGAGCTGGGTACAGGAGAAGATCCTTACTGGTTGGCTCCCATACCAGAGACCGATTTGGCACGACACGTCATACTGTCTGACGACCAGAGTCTTATGGCTCTTCTCGATACTCGGATCAAGACAAAGTACACTTCAGTTTCGGACCCGCTCCCTCCAGACGACAGTATCAACTCATATGACGTATCTGCCGTTGGATCAGATCTACCAGGCCACCGCCCCCGTGCCAACCGGGAAGATCTATTGGCCGAGCTGGAAGAATTCCGCCGGTATTTTGAGGGCTTCGATATTGCCAACTTGATGGGTGATGAACCGAATCCGGAGGGCATAGTCAACGCACTACGGGAGGCGGGCACCAGCTGGGCGGAGTACAACAGAAATCTGGAGCGCTTTCAGTTGTTGCGGATGAGGCTACAGCAAGAAGGTGTTCATATTGTGTTCCAGGAGCCAGATGAGGGGGGTCGTGGAGTCGGCACGGACTCTGAGACTGACGAGTAGGTCCGATAGAGGTGTGCCCAGAGAGGCTCCCCAAGGCTTGACCAAGGTTGGTAGTGTACTGTACATACCTTTTACCGTTGTTACTATTCGTAGATGGGAGTACATGGAACAGCCGCTTTCAGGTAGACTCCATGCCAAAAATGTACATAGCAAGAGCTGCCAGCGACTCGTGGTGGGGTCAAGTCCTGTCATGTGCTTTAGCTTAGGTACTACCTTACGTATACCCCCTTACCTGACTTTGTACGATTCTTGCATGGCTGGACTGACGTCGAGAAACCAAGCCAGTCATGCTCACGTTAGACATTCACTCTCCCGCGCCTTGCAGACGTGGCCCGCTGGTTTTGCGCAAGCAGGGACTCGTGGGCGGACTGCGGCTGGCCACAGCGTAGTACGCCTGTGCACCCAATGTCAAGAAGCCTGTCCTGGTCCTAGAGTAGAGTAGAAGTACCGGGATGCCGTTTGCCCAAAAGTGACGTCTCGTTTTTGTTTATAGACAACGCAACGCTTGAGCCGCAACGCCTCAGCCCCTCCAACTGCACGCACCTGCACCTGCACCTGCACCCTCCGCCTTCCCTCTTCCCACCTTCCACCTTCCACCTTCCACCTTTCGCCATCCACCTATTCTTGCGGCGCACCTTGCACGTGTCAACTCGCCTGGCACTGTGGACGCGCTGCCTTGTTATCATCATCATTCATCATCATCGTCATCGTCATCTTTAGCATACACACTAGACCTAAGTCGTACTTTCTACCTAGTACGTACCTACCTATACATCGACACAACGACACGACCAACACTGGTACGGAGGATAGGAGGATAGGAGAATAGGATTGTACGCCACCAACAACACACCACCAACAAAAGCATCCCTCCCCCACCCCACCCCTGCCGTCATCATGAGCGGCATGCGGGCCCACATAGCCAGCCGTATGCGCAGTGCCTCGCTCTCGGCTGTTCCTCCACCACGCCAGAGCTCCGACTACTCGCGCGAGCTTGCCAGAATCGCGACATCTGTCTTGTACCGCTCGCCGCTTCCCTCGAAAGAAGGCCGGCCCGTCTTCATCCTCAACGCCGCTGCCCTCCCCGACTCACGCGAGGCCGACTTCGACAAACTCCTTCCCTATGTCCTTGCACGCCTGCCCGAGGAAGACGACCTCCTTAAGGGCTTCGAGTACGAGGTCATCTTCTTTGCAGGCGACGGGGATGGCTCTGCGACCACCAAGAAGCACAGGCCAAGCTGGGGGTGGTTCCTCCAGGCATACCACGTTCTGTCACGGGCGATGCGTAAGAGGCTCCAGAAATTGTATATTGTACACGAGAAGGCGTGGGTGCGCATCTTGACCGAGATCTTCTCCACCATTGTCAGCCCAAAGTTTAGGCGGAAGACGTATCATTGTAAGCCTCCTTTGCCCCATGTCCCGACCGTCGCTGACGGGATACCTAGTGTCTACCTTGACCCAACTAGCACGTGAGATACCCATAACCGACTTACTCATACCACCGTCGACCTATCTTACCGACCGTCGGATAACTGAAGACATCTTCGTGGCCGGTGCAAGCGGTAAACGAGCATTCGGTGCCCGCAATTACTTCCCCACCAGCAGCAATGGCAGCACCCGCTTTCCCCGTGTCCTGCGCGAGACCACAAGCTTCATACTGATGGAGAACAACATCATCACCGAAGGTCTCTTCCGAGTACCCCCACACTCAAAACTTCGCGACTGTCTGAAGGAGGCGTACGACAGAGGCCAAAAGTACATTGTCTGGAAGGACAACGACTGCTTGCTACCTACCCCACCCTACCCACGCGCTGAACACCAGGACGAAATCCTGGCAGAGGTGGTGCCGACAGACGCTTACTCTGTCTTCATGGCTTGTGCGCTGATCAAGGCATGGTATGCTTCGTTGCGCCAACCCATCTTCTCGATAGAATCCTATCGTGACCTCAAGCGACTCTATGGAGATTCTCAGGATATTCTGGATCTGGCCCGGCTCAAAGACCTCTTCTCTCCATCTTCGGAGTGGTCCCTACTGTCTGGCGCATCTCGCGAGATTGTTGTCAGGCATCTTTTGCCATTGCTTAGTGCTATAGCGGCTCGAAAAGATGAAAATAAAATGACGGCGGAGAACTTGGCTGTGTGCTTTGCGCCAGGACTTTTGTGTGGGCCTGACCAGTTGGAGGACGCAAAGATGTCTTCCATTATCCGGCGGATCTTCACGCAGGCTATTGACATGTGGACACAAGGGCTCCGTGAGGCGTGTGGGCAGACTGAAGAAGCTTTCTATGCCGAGCTGAAGCTACCAAAAGATGAAAATGATTGGGAAGACCCCATACCGAAGAAGCTGAGTTCAGTGGATAGCTGGGACTCACTGGAAGAGCAGACCAGGGGTATTACCCTTGAAGATAATGAGAAGCTACCGACTTATCCGGATCTACCCCAAGAAGACACCGAAGCACCACCTCCACTACCACCACGCACCCAAGCGCCCTCGACACAATCTTCCTTCGAATCCGCTAAGCGAAAGCCAGCCCCAGCCCTTCAGGTGCCTCCCCGATACTCTACCGTCATCTCCGACGCGCCAGAAAACATTGCAGATTCTCCTCTTACGTACGCGGCGACAACGGATGGTTTTGCCCCCGGCCAACCAAACAACAATGTAGTCCCACCACTCCCACCGCGCTGGGGTACCGATGAGAAGAACTCTGGTACGAATAACCCAGTTTCTGTTTCCGCTCCTATCCCATACCATTCGCAGAGCAGTGATGCACCAAGCCCTGCAAACCCTCTAGCGCCTAGACTCAACATTCCAAAGCGCAAGATCCTGACCGCAACGCAGATTGACAACGTTGAGAAGTCTGTAGTAGCGCAGGATGAGGTGCGTCATGTGTCGCCAGGAGCGGCTCAAACACCACAGGGGGGCTTCGCCTTGCCAGGGTTGACGAGTCGGCCAAGTAGTACCACGGGCATGAAAAGGACAACTCCTTCGACATATGCACCGAGCGAGGCATCTAACTCGCCAACGAGTGCCGTGTCTGCCCCCGCGTATGATGGGGGGTTTCGAAGACCAAGCATACCATCAAGTTCGAATGTGAATCGGAGTCCTAGCTTCAGCTCACTGGCCCGTCCGGTCTATCCTCCGCCACCTCAGCTTCCCACCATTCGACAGACGCCAGCCAAGCCGTCGGGCCTGTCTCATTCCAATTCGAGCTCGAGCCCTACTCCGACGGGGCCTAGACTGCGTGCGCCCAGTGCGGCACTGTTGTCGCGGATGCCGAGTTTCGAAAAGAGCCAGGCGAAGGAGGATGAGAGTTGCCGTGTCGTGGGCCGGACGCTGGCGCCCAAGAAGTTGAATTTGAAGAAGCAATCGGTGGAGGATTTGAGGCGGTTGTATGAGGAGCGGGCGGGGACGGCGAGTGCGTTGGTGGAAATGGGGAGGCAGCGGTGATGTTGAAAGAAGCTTAGTCATTCTTTTTCTTTTCGTTTTGGCTTGGTTTGGGGGTTGGGGGAGAATGCCATATCTTTTTTTTTATCATAGTATCATACTCTGTATACCTGTCTTTCTTTCTTTTTGTTAGGATACCCTGATTTTCTGTCGATTTTCCTTTGTTTAGTGTAGATTTATCGGCTCCTCTCTCTCCCTCCGTCGGATAATCTCGTCTTGTCTTCTTCCCACCAATACTCAAATTCACAATATCTACAAGCTTTCTTCGCTTCAGGCATATCTAGTATCTAGACATCTAGACATTTATTCTCCTAGTCTTACTTTTTCCTCTACGCTACACCATTTCTCTTTCCTAACCCCCCCCTCACCCCCCACCCTTTTTTTTTAACTTGCAGGGGAAGCGGGTGCTTTCGATTCTGGAAAACCAGTGTGGTTCTCAGCTTGCTGCGTGTAGGCATTGATGGTTTGGCGGGAGGTGTGTTGGTTTTTGATGTGGTGTGGTGTTTGAGATGGGGGGTTGGGAATGGGGTGTCGGGGTAGATGTGGATGTGGATCTCTATGTATTCTTTATATTTTACTAATGGTGTACGGGCCTGAGTGGAGCATAGGAGATGGGAGATGGGAGAAGCCAGTCTGTAATGGGAGAATGGAATAGTGTGGGCAAATGGCCTTTTAATTTGTTGGTTTCATCTCTTTGTGCCTGTCTCTCTTTTTTTGGCCCTCTGGCTGGCGTCCGTGCTCGGAAAATATAACGTGTGAACATGAATATTGTACTGCTAATGCATATGGTGATGTGAATCTCGGGGAAGGGGGGCAAGAGAAGGAGTGGACAAGGTGTGTTACTTCCAAGCTATAGAATTTACTATTTCTTGCGGCTACTGATGATGATTGTGCTTGTTGATTTTGGCGTGAAGAATCCTGTAAAAGGGAAAAAAATGTACTTGTGATTCTTGTTACCAGTTCATTCTACAATCCCTCCCCTCCCCCTTCCCCCTTCTCGCACCAACCCCCTCCTAATAATCATCCCCCCGACTCAACACCTCCTTGCAAGTCGGCCTCAACACAAACGTATGCTCACTCTGCGCCGTCCAACTGCCCTTGATATCGCACAGCGGCGGGTAGGCCTCGACAATACCGCTGCTGACCAGATTATTGAGACCCAGCAGGTACTTGTCGTGGCCGAGGCGGTCGAGGTAGCGGCGGCAAAAGGGGAGGGTACCGAAGTTCTTGGTGATGGAGGCGAGGAGCGATTTTGCAGACGAGATGCGGAGGGCGACTTTGGGGGCGTCTGGGCGGAGGGCGTAGTGTGATGTTTCCATCTGGGGTTGGGGTTAGTGTTTGAAGAGGGAGTTTGATTGGTTGATTGGGGGGAGGATTGAGGTGGAGGGAAGGACTTTACTTACATCGTCGCGGACGTAGCCTTTGCCTGTTGAGCCAAAGGTTTCAATGGCAAAAGTTTCGCCTTCTTCCATTTTCGTTTGGTCGCTGCCCTTGACAATGGGCACGGTTTTGCCGCCGTGAATGGTGTAGTGGCCGATGCTGTGGCCGTTGAGATTTCTGATGCACTTGACGGGTAGCATCTTGCCGCCGATTTCTACCTCGTAGCTTTCCATGACTTCTTGGATTGCGGCGCCAATGTCACTCATGCGCACATCGATGCCTGCCTCTTTGATGCCCGCATTGGTCGCGGCCTTGCATGCTTCCACCAGCGGGTCGTAGACGGGATCAAACGTCTTGGTAAAGGCGCTGTCGACGATTCTGCCGTTGATGTGGACACCGAAATCGACCTTCATCACATCCTCGTAGTTGACCACCACCTTGTTGCCCGCATTTGGTGTATAGTGTGCGGCGCAGTGATTTATGCTCAGACCCGTTGGAAATCCCATTCCCGCTTTCTGTGCATCGCCCTCTTCCAGCCCTTGGTGGCCCGTCAGAGCTCGCACAGAGTCCTCGATGCCCTCGGCAATCTCGGTGAGCGTCATGCCCGGCTTGATCCAGTTTGCAGCCCATTGGCGTACCTGGCGGTGGATCTCAGCGCCCTTGCGATAGTCGGTGAGGAAGTCGTTGTTCATGCGGTCGAGGTGGCGTTTCTCTTCGTTCGTGGTGCGGTAGCTGTTTTCGTCGCGGTATTCGCAGATTTCACCCTCGGGGTAACTGTCGTTGGGGAAGAGGTCGGAGATGAGAACGCGTGGGGGTGAGGTTTGTGACTTTGCTCCTGCTGTGGCGGAGGTGCCAGCCTTCTTCTTCTTGCGTGGCTTTCTCTTCTTCTTCTTTTTGGCAGCACCATCGGCTCCTGCTTCTCCCGTACCATTCCCGTCGCCCTCAGCATCGTCGTCGGAATCTTCTGCTTCGGCGCTGAGTTTGGAGTCGGGTTGCGAGGTGCCGTTTGTAGGCTTGGTGGTGGAGTCGTCCACTGTTGTACAATCAGATCACTCTCACTCTTACTCTCCTGATGACCCTAAATGGATATTCCTCTCTCTCTTTCTCTCTCTCTGGACTTGTGAAACATACACTTCAGGTTGGCGACATCATCTTCTACTTGAGCCGCCATGTTTTCGTGTGTGGCAAATGTGGTGTGAAATGGTTCCTACTTTGCTTGTCGTGAAATTTCCACAGGGATCCTCGTCGGTCGCCCCGCTAAACGTCGGCACTCGGAGGTGGCCACATGCCTGTCGTGAATCGCCAATCGATGACGTTTTTACACCGTCCAGAATCACTTCCTTTCCCTTCTACTCTTTTGACTTCTCACGCCATATCCCCTCCCACCCTCTTTCTGCCTCTTGAACCTCAACGGGCAATGCCACCACCCCGTCCACCCGTCATCCTGCGCTCCCTCGCACACCTTCACCCACAATGGACATGCCCCTCATGTCTGACGCGCAGTCCACGTCGTCCACTTCCACACATGCGCGCTCCTCCGCAGCGTCCACCCTTTACAATCCCCCAAACCTCGGCCTTCCACAGCACCCGCACCCTACGTGCCTCCAACGTACCCACGCACTATGAAACCCTCCAACTCTCCTCGGCCTCGGCCTCGGCCGCCGAAATCAAACGCCAGTTCTACACGCTGTCGAAAAAACACCACCCCGATCGCAATCAAAACGACCCAAACGCTTCTACGCGCTTCGTTGCAATCAGCGAGGCCTACCACGTCCTGTCCGTCCCGGAGAAGCGCGCGCAGTACGATGCAACACTCCAGTCCGCGCAGGCCTCATCATGGGGTCGTAGCAGTAGCGGTAGCAGTGCAGGTGGCCAAGGCTACCCACAGGGAAGTTACAGCTCTGCCTCCTTTGGCTCGCGGCCAGCCAGCGGCTTGAACAAGAAGCGCAGTACCTTTCGTGGCCCCCCGCCAAGCTTCTACAAGTCCGGTGGCTACGGCGAGTTTGGCGCCAAAAGGAGCGAGCATGCCTATCAGTCTTCTACGACGGCTTCAGGTGGGCACGAGCAAAAGGCGGGGCAGCAAAGTTATGGCGAGTACGGCGGCTTTGGTCCAGGACAACAGGGACATGGAAATCAGGTCCCGCATTTTGATGGCAAGAGACACAAGCAGACGCATGATAATGTCTTTGCGCATATTCGGGCGCGGAGAAGGCAGATGCGCACAACGGTTCAAAGAGAGGACGAGTACATGCGGGCCGGTGTTTTGAAAAACTTCTTGATCGTTAGTGGCATCATCGGCATTATTGGGGCGACGGCCAAGATATTCGGCGACAGGCAGGAGGCGCGGGAGCACGCTGTGAGGAAGCAAAGCGCATGAGATCCTGTTCCATCATGCAAATGGAAATCTACCCCCATACAACATGGATTGGCACTCTACTGCAACACAACTCATGGATTCGATGCCATTTTCGCAGAATTGATGGGGTGTGTTTGCTCATACTACAATCGCTCGCTGTCGCAAGTCGAGAATCGCTGCGCTAGAGAACCAAAAGAGATCTAAAGGGCACCACCTCCCAACCTTGTACTTTTCTACAAAGTCCTTTCCTCTTGTGCGAGTAAAAGACGCTTAGCCCTCAAAGGTGAAGCTGGTGCCGATCTTGTGGCCGGCCTCGTTGAGCTTCTGGGTATCGAAAGAGCCACCAATACCGAAAGTCAGACCGCTGTTGACCTTGGTGTTGTAGGCGAGCGACGCAATGCCGAGGTTGTTGATCTTGGCCTAATACCGTGATTTAGCATGCACAATGCGCTACTCAAAGTCAGCGTCCAGCACGTACCTTGGCGAAGGAGGCAGGGTCAAGCATGTACTTGGCAGCCACCTCGAGGGCGACGTTGGAGCCAGACTTGGAGTCCCAGGTGGCGCGGGCACCGGCCTCAACAGCGGGGTTGACGCGCTGGTAGTAGGAGGCGGAGAAGACGCTCAGGGAGTTGGTCGCGGTGACAGCGGCGTTGTACAGAGGGGTGGTGTATCCAACGGCAGCAGAGTACTTGGTGATGGCAGCCTTCTGCACATCGTAGCCAACCTCACCACCGACGACGAAACCCTCGTGGCTAACGACGGCGTCGGCGATGGTGCCAATGGCACCAGCAGCCGAGTAGTCGACGAAAGCACGGCCGTGGAAGTTGGGCTGCTTGAAGTGGAAATTGACCTTCTGGCCCTTGTTTCCGGCAGCAGGGTTGAAGTTGGAGAGGACCTCGGCCTTCAAGCCGCTGGCAAAGGTGTCGTTGAGCTCAACCTTGGTGGCCAGGAGGTTGGCCGTGTTCCAGGATTGGGTGATGCTGATGCCTGTGCGCCGTGTCGTCAGATACTTGATTCCCAGGCCAGAGACTGCAAAGACGCCCGGAGGCTGTGCCATGTGATAGAAGTATGATGAAAAAGAAGGCGTGGACAGTAATGGTGTTGTAAGAAAAGTGGAGCGGAGAACGATGGAACGAAAGGGGGTTGGGTGAGCGGGTTGTGAACGAGAGCATGGTGGAGTTGATTTCGTACCGTTGGAGATGGCCTTCTTGCCCTCGAGCTGTTGTGCGCAAACATAAGCGGGTGGCCGCGTTGCGACTGTCGCATCGCACTTACGGAAGAAGAGACGGGGCCATCGTGGGCCGAAGTGCCCTTGGCAGTGAAGTTGACGCCGTTCGGGGCCTTCAACTTGACCTCAAGGGCGGCTGCGCGTTGTGTCAGTTGGGATGGGAAGTCAAGTTTGGGGGTCAATTGGCATGTCCTGACCTGCGGCAGTGTGGTAGAAGTCCTTGTTGATGAGCTGTGAGGGGTCAAAGTCAGTAATAGTCCCGACCAAGCTCCCGGCGGGCGGGCACTGGCAAAGGTGGGGAGGGGGGGGGGGTTTGCCCCCAAACGTACATCATTAGAGGCCTTTGCGATGTCGCTGAAGGCAGGCGGTGGGAACCTGGGGACGATCTTCTCGACTTTGACGTATTCAGTCATGATGGCGGTGTGTGTTGGAGGAGGAGGAGGAGGAGGAGGAATAGTATATGGGGTGGGGGATGAATGGGAGGGGAGATGGGGTGTTGACAATGGTTGGTGGTGGTGGTGGTGGTGGTGGTGGTTGGTATTAAGCAAAGTTCTGCGCAGCGGGAAAACAGCTCACGGCAGCAACACCAAGGTCGCGAGCCAATCGGCGCTAAGCGTGTTTGAAAAGGGTCGCCATAGCCATTTTGTCCACATAAGCGACAACGTGGGCCCTGCATTCACCCCCTAGCAGTCTAGCAGCCCTGCATGCCAGACTGACTTGCATCTTTGTCCAGTACCGACGACGGCAGTTACATCGACGGTACACTGGCTGCAGTACTGTAGTATACATTGTGTAGAGTATCATGGCCACCTACTAGAATACCTAGAATACTACCTATGCTTTGTTTGACCTTGCTTTCGACCAGAAGCCAGCAAGCGATGACGGCTGCCCTCCCGGCGATCCTCCACTTTGGATTATCCAGACACTGACACTGGACACTGGACAGGTAGAGAGGGGGTTGTATTTCAGCTCATCGATGAGGGGCAGGTTAGGAGGGTTTAGTTAGTAGTACTGGCCTGTAGGTAGGTAGGGACTGTAGTGGGCGCAGGCCGTGTGCCAGCTGTCACAAACCGTGAGTTGGCAAATAGATCCATCGTCAAGTTCTTTCGATCCATGTCTCTGGACCCACATGCAACTCTTGGACTGCACCTTGGGAACAAGTACCGTATGGTAGAGTATGTACAAAGTAGATACATCGTCGGTTTCATGGTCACATCCGTCCTTTCAGCCTTGTCCACGGCGGCCGGTGTCGGGCAGGAGATCAGATCAATCATCAGCTTCCGGCCTGCCCCCCACTTAATCGATTCGGGCCATTCGAGTGACTCTTGACGACGTTGATTCTCGTAGCGCACGCGTCTGGCCGTTTGGCCCTTCTTCCACCACATCCTCTGTGCCTGACTATTCTCCATTGGCATAGCTAGCACCAGTCATAGCACGGTCAATTGCACCCCTCCTTTGTCGCACGGCCTGGTTGTAGTAGAATAGAGAAAGAAGAAAAAAAACTCCATCTTACAAGCTGCCATCACCACCACACATCCTCCACCCCTCCACATATATTCACCATGTCTACATTCGGCACCCACTACAGAGTCACCACGTACGTCACCACTGCCACCACCACCACTATCACCACTCAAAAGACTATATTCACGCCCCTAACACTTTCCTCTCAGCTATGGTGAATCGCATTGCCTCAGCGTGGGCGCCATTATCGATGGCTGCCCACCAGGCATGGCCCTCACCGAAGCCGATATCCAGCCCCAGATGACGCGCCGACGACCAGGCCAGTCTGCCATTACAACGCCGCGAAACGAAAAAGACCGTGTCGAGATCCAGTCAGGTACGGAGTTTGGCATCACACTGGGAACGCCCATTGGTGTACGGGTCATGAATGAGAACCAGCGCAAGCAGGATTATGGCAACCAGACCATGGACAAGTACCCACGACCCAGCCACGCAGACTGGACCTACCTCGAAAAGTACGGCGTCAAGGCGAGCTCAGGTGGAGGAAGGAGTAGCGCAAGAGAAACGATTGGTGGGTGTCATGCGAAAGCATCCTTCATACACGCTTTGGAATTGACAATAGACAGGGCGCGTGGCTGCTGGTGCAATTGCGGAAAAGTACCTGCGCGAGGCCTACGGTATTGAAATCGTCGCCTTTACAAACTCCATCGGGAATGAGTTCCTCTTCCCGCCCACGCCCGAACACCCCACTGCCTCGACCAACCCAGAGTACCTCAAGCTCATCGACTCCATCACCCGCAACAAGGTCGACGAGTTCCTGCCTGTGCGATGTCCCGACGAAGACGTCACCCGGCGCATGGAAGACTTGATCGCAAAGTACAGAGACGCGCAGGATAGCATAGGTGGCACAGTCACATGCGTCATAAGAAACTGCCCGACAGGACTGGGAGAGCCATGCTTCGACAAGCTGGAAGCTAAGCTCGCCCACGCCATGCTCTCCATCCCCGCCACCAAGGGCTTCGAAATCGGCTCAGGGTTCGGCGGCGCCCAACTGCCAGGCTCCATTCACAACGACGCCTTCATCAAGGCCCCCGCCGTTCCCGCAGGCCAGAACCCCTCCTCAAACGTCCCCCGGCCGCGCCTGACCACCAAGACGAACAACTCCGGCGGCATCCAGGGCGGCATTTCCAACGGTGCCCCCATCTACTTCAACGTTGCATTCAAGCCTGCGGCTACCATTGGCCAGGCTCAGACAACAGTCACCTACGACGAGGTCGATGGCGTGCTAGAGGCAAAGGGCAGACATGATCCCTGTGTCGTCCCTCGCGCTGTGCCCATTGTCGAAATGATGGCTGCATTAGTCATTATAGACGCCATACTTGCACAGCAGGCGAGACAAGGAGCGAGGAGTATGCTGCCTCCTCTCAAGGGCGTGCAGCCTGTCCACGGTGGCGCGCAATAATATGGCAGCATGCCTTGTGCGACTTGAAGAGAGAGAAAAATCCATACCTTTGGCCTTGTCCACCACGTAGAGTAAGGCACGAGGCAAGAGGCAAACACACTTTTCTCTCCTCTTACATGATACTCTAAATTAGAATCGGGAATAAAAAAAAGCAAGCCATCTCCTCAATTCAGTAATCTCTTCCCAGCATCCCGAATCCCCCTCTTTGTGTTTTCTAAGCAAAAGAAAAAATCATGATGAACGAGTTTGTCATCCAATTCGCCCCGACCCGATCACGATGTCCGCCTGAACTCGGCGAAGCAGGTCTTGTGTATGTCCCACGACGATCCCCACGATGCCAAACTTCGCGTTCGCTTCGATGCGCAAGATTCCTCCCCCTTCCTTCGGTAGGAGTACAAGGCGAGAGGGGGGTGTTGTGGTTGTGGTTGTGGCTGTGGCCTAGTGGGTTAGTGGGCGCGCGCTTGCACGACGTTGCATGGTTGCTGATTGGATGGAGTTGTATGCGAGATGCATAGCAGGAATGACTTTGGTGGATAGATGGATTGTTACTTGTGTTTTTTTGCCTGCCGATGTTTGACTTGTTTGTCGTTATTTATTTTAGGGTGAGGTAACTAACACGCACGTAATGTGTAACATGCCCTGACTAGGCCTAGATAGGTTCACGCTAGGATGAATTTGGAGAGCCATGTCAAGGGGGTCTACTTTTTTCCACTGTTATTGAACCTCTATTCACGTGCATAAAATTGTTGATGATTTCTTTCTCTCTCTCTCTCTCTCTCTCTCTCTCTCTCTCTCCTACATGAGTAGAGTATGCCGTGTCTTAGCAGCGCTCATGTGGATAGATTCAATGAACATTGATTTTCCTTGAGAATTACTGTGAATTGTAAACGCTGTTATACGAGTATCAATGCTGTATTTTTCACGATTGAAAATTCAAGGCTACCGTGCAAGTCGTACTATATCAAGTCAAAGGCTCATGAATCAGAGAAGCGACTCAAACTGGATCTATTCGCCACTGGCGGCTGGCCAGTCAGCGTAACGGTGTCCTGTCTGTACCGTATTGAACGTTCGCAGGAAATCCGGCTATTCGGCTCATCTCTCGCAACGGATTGGCGGGTATAACTCCCAGTGATTGCAAGTTACCACTACTCTTTAAGACGTGAAAGAAACGCAGTCACGATTCTGTGGTATAGCGTAGTACACTCTATGAGCGCGGCACTATTTACCGATTCCATTCGCAGCCTTGGCTGTGGAGTCCATGTTCCGCCATGACGGCTGAACAATTGCCCTATCGGCCCTTTCGACTACATCATAAGAACGTGTCGAATCAGGCCTGGCGCAAACCATCCTCTGTCTTTGTAACATACATCCCAGAAGAAAGAATTCGGTACCCCTCGTCGTTCCCCAAAAAACCAGAAACAGCTATAGACTCGAAGACATGCTTACATCACGATGGAGCCATGGTGTTCAAGCGACCGTCTCGGTTGGGAATGTCTAACTCAGAAGTCGCTTGCCGATCAACGTCATGGAGGCGTGGGATATCATGGGAAAGTTGACTGCATAGCCCACTGGCTGTACTCTAGCACCCAGGAACGTTCGAACCAGAGTGTCAGAAAGGCACCGCAAGTTTTGCTCCGGTCGAGTCACACACGCTACCGCGCAGCATGCGGGTTGGCAAGAGATTGCTGGGGAAGCGCATCCCCATGCGGGAAGCATGGCATTCTGGGTCCACAATGAGAAATGCCCCGTGTGGGTTTAAATCTCGATGCGAATTGACTTATGCCTGCCACTTTTGCCTCTCGGGCCCCCTCCCACGCCCAGATCAACTGTAGTCACCCTTTTGCTTCTAGATCGCATCTACCCTCAGCCCAATAGCAACACCCTGTCACTGCCGAATTCGACTCTACTCTTCGCCACATCGCCTGTGCCAACCGGGTCCGAGCCTGCGTGCCGCTGCTTTGGAACGGTGACTAAACCTACAGGGACGACCTTTTTACAGTCGTGGACGACTTCACGTCTCTTGTCCTTCTCGGAGCTTGTCTCTCCTTACCCCATCCTTTCTCCTCTGCTAAACTCCCGTCATGGCCCGCGGCGGTGCAACAGCCCCCTCTTACCGGGACGATCAAGACGACAGTCAGCCCAAGGGAGACAAAGCCCCCAAGCGACGATGTGTGCAGTCTGCCTGTGTTCCTTGCCGCAGGCGCAAGTCTAAAGTAAGTTGCTCTCTGACGATTTCAAGTTACCAGGAAAGGGAGGCGTCCTGTTGTTGCGAATTTGCATCCGCGGACCAAGCATGCAACCAAGTCGGGGGCCGTCCCATCCTGGCCTGACTGAATCAGCCAGTTGCTGACACCTCGTCTTCAGTGTGACGGCGGCACGCCCGTCTGCGCAACGTGTACAGCCGTCTATAAGACACCATGTCACTACGATGCTGAGGCCGAAAGTCGCCGCTCCAAGTCCGGCCCTTCAAACCCATCCACGGCAGGCACGAAACGCGAAGCGTCCGATGTCACCGCTTCCCTTTCCTCTTCTCAAAACGCTTTCACCGCCGAGTTCATCCTCAACTACCTCAGAAAGCTCCCAGAGGAGCACGTACAAGACTTTGTCGAGCACCTCCGCAAAGACCCCAACGCTGAGATTGCCACCCTTGCGGAAACATGGCACAAGGCCGTGACGCTCCATCCAAGCACGCCCCTCGAGCACCCCAGCCTGGAATCTGACCTGAGTCTGCTGCTTGGGAAACCGGCAGTGACTCTGACAGGCGAGAGTCGCCATTTTGGCCATTCAGCCAGCCTTGGCCTGGTACCTGAGGATGAAAACTTCGTTGGCGGGCGAGCACGCACCGATAACGCACTGACAGGGCGACAGGGGACGACGTGGACGAATGTGACCAACGATATCCAATTTGTCCAGCAACTGCTCAACTTGTACTTCACGTGGAGCCACTCATTTTATGTGCTCTTCAGCCGCGAGTGCTTCTACAAAGACTTCGAGTCTGGACGCGAGAAATACTGCTCTCCACTTTTGGTCAACGCAATATGCGCTTACGCCTGTCACTGGACCGATGACCCAGTCGGGCGGACAAATCCAGCAGACTTCCGTACCGCAGGCGACCACTTCTTCACTGAAGCGAGACGGCTACTTTACGAGGATTACGAGGCCCCGAGCCTCACGACCACACAGGCTTTGTGTATCATGGCCATGCGCGAACCAAGCGCGGGGAGAGACAGCACGGGTTTCGGGTACATGGGAAGATGCATTCGCATGTGTGTGGAACTCGGCCTGCACCTGAATCACAATACAAGTCCTGTACTAAATCTGACGCCGAGCGAAGTCGAAGTCAGAAAAGTCACGTTTTGGGGCTGCTTCACGGTAGACACGTAGGTGGAAGGTCTCTGTTCGCTATGATGACTTGCTGAGGATTACAGTGTGTACTCTGTCTGTATTGGGCGCATCTCACAACTCCCTCGAGCCGCGATAACTCTGGATAGGCCACTTTTGGATGAGTCGACGAGCCTTCCGGAAACCGCAATGGGAGCATCGCGTATGCCCCCTCAGGGCATTACCTCGGGAATGTTCCTGCATGAATTTGCGACACTCTCCGAGTTGATCAACGATAACAACTTCATGTATTTTGCACCGCGGGAACGCCTTACCAGTACTAAGCTGCAGAATTGTTACGAGCGATACCAGGCATGGTACAAGCAGTTGCCACCAGCGCTGATTTTGGAGGGTAAAGAACGGCCCGAGCCTCATGTCTTGGTACTACAGTACGTCATACCAATTGTCATGTTGTGTCCGTTGGCTAACACGTGGGAGCAGTATGCTCTACTTTACAATAATAGTGCACCTATTTCGTCCATTACTCAAGGTCAACCTGATACATTCCGAAGTTAGACCCCGCGATATCTGCATCGACGCAGCCAACACCGTCTCGAGAATTGTCACAATATATCGCTCACTTTACGACTTTCGTTTCGCTCATCTTCCAATACCCCATGTTCTATTGTCCGTTTGCATTGTACACCTGCTATACTCCAAGGACAACAAGATATCGAGACAGAATCTTGTGGACGGGTTACAAGGTCTGGAGGATTTACACAAGTGTCACTACTTTGGAGCAAGATGCTTCCGCATCATCCACACGTTATCACAACACTGGGATTTGCCCTTCCCAGAGGAACATCTCAACTCTAAACTCCTTCTGAGACGAAGTTCAGAAGCCCAAGGCATGAACAGCTCCCCCGCTGACCCCCTGCTTATTCACACAAACCCCATTCCGACCGATACCAGCCACCTAAACTCGAGCATGTCTAACTCGCCGAGCGGCCAGCATCCAAACCGCCGAGAATCACTCTCCCTGTTTGGGCAACCTAACCGCCTCTCCCTCGCGACGCACTCGGCGCCCTCACGACCCAGCAGCGTGGTCTCAGGCGCGCGTCTGCAATCGCCAGTGGTGAATCACGCACCCATGCAAAACTACAATACCAACATCCCTTTGACCTCATACCCATACTCGCAACCCATGTCCACAACGCCGTCAACCAACGTCCCTGCAGCCTCTACGACGTCCCCCGTAAGCTCCTCGGCCGCCGAAGCCCTCTTCTGGGCCCCACTTCCCGGGATGCCAGGCCCCATCCTGCCGCGCCACAATTACCAACAAATCAGCACCATGGGCCTCGAGTCAGTTTTACAAACATCGGACATGGGCGAGCGGTTGCACCGCGATGGCTTCAAGATCAATGAGGACTGGCGGTCTAGTCATGTGAATGGGTTTAGTGGCGGGCCGCAAGCTAGCGTGTATGGAGGTGATGGTAGTGGTGATGGTGGCGGTGCTGACATGGGACCAGGACATGGACATGGCGGATTCGTGCACCGTAGTAGCTATACGCAGCCGAGTGAGAGTGTGGGTGGGTATCAACAAGGCGGTCCGGCGGATGGGAGCGAGTTCGTGTCGGGTTGGTGGCAGGGTGCTAGTTCGGGAAGTGGGGGTATGAGCTGACAGGGGAACAAGGGACCCACGGGATGCAAGAAGGGATCGAGAGATGTGTGGGTTATCTTGTAGAGTGTGTTGGATTTGGCATGTTGTAGAAGAGGGGCTTTGAGATGAGCATCATGTAGGTGGGGAATTCAAGTGGAGAGTGAGTGGTCATTGGGACTTAAAATGTCCTATTCGTGGCTAAGATTGGAAAATGTTACACATACCCCATTTCTTTTTTTTTCTTATTGATTTAGCGTTGTTGTACTTGTGTGTTTAAAGAAACGATGTTAGCGGGTTGTTAGTAAACGAACAAATGTTGGAGATTAGTAGAGCAGATGGTGCGAGTCTTTGGGGGTACTCTAGCATGAGTGAGCAGGCGATTCATGGGTGTGATTGTGGGGATATTGAGGTCATGAGATTGGGAAGGCCTTCGTGGTAGCAGGTGTGGGTATATACTGAATTGCGTATCCACCAAACCATTTACATATAAATGTTGTGCTGGCACAGAGCAGTAATAATGAGTTGGTCTCATAGTATACGCTTGTAGTTCATTGATCTTTGGACCCCTGCCCCACCAGTTCGCGCTAAGTGAGAGCGCACAAAACATTGAACAAGGGTCAGAGATGCCTGCACACTATATATACCACCCAACTCTTTCTTTTCCCTTTCCAAATATACAAATGTCCGATAGCGAAGAGAGCAGCCTATTCGGGGTCAGTCAGGATCTAGTTCCGCCTGCGCCAATCAAAGCTGCTGGTGTGTCCGAGGTAGACTTTGACGGCCTCTTATCACCACCACTCAAACTGCACGAGGACCTTCGCAATGGATGTGGCGGTATGCTATGGCCAGCCGGCATGGTACTCGGCAAATACATGCTCAGAAAGGACGGCAGTGAACTCGCAGATAAAGTCATTTTGGAACTCGGTGCCGGTGGTGGACTCGTAGGCCTTGCAGTCGCACTTGGCCACAAACTCCAGCGCGTGCTTCACATTACCGATCAAGAACCCATGTTCGATCTCATGAAGCGCAATATCAAACTCAACACACTCGACTCACGGGTTCTAGCAACGATATACGACTGGGGAGCCCCGACGCCATCGCACTTACCCCTTCATCCAGATGTCATCTTGGCTGCGGATTGCGTCTACTTTGAGCCAGCATTTCCACTGTTGCAGCAGACGTTGCAGGATTTGATTGGCGAGGATACAGTGTGTTATTTTTGCTTCAAGAGGAGGAGAAGGGCAGATTTGACGTTTATGAAGACGGCGCGGAAAATGTTTCATGTGGAAGAGGTGGCTGACGATCCGGATAAGTGTACTTGGGAGAGAGAGAAGCTTTTTTTGTAAGTTTGCTTGTGCTTTGTGGCGGGGGTATGTTGGCTGATCTTTGCAGGTATAAAATTACGAAGAAGCGCTGAAGCGTCAGATTCGGGGATCGTATCGAACTTGTCAAAATGGCATTTGGTAAACTTTCCCCTCCCGAGCCGTAGTAATACACGCATCTGCAGCGATCGCTTCATCCACACGTATTCCATTCCAGGCCATCAATATCACCTGCCTACACCCGTGGTGCTGACTGTTCCCACCAGAGTTAACTGGGATACATCCCACGAGGGACTGGAACAGTCTTGTAGCTAGCTCAGCAGACATTGGATCTTCTCCTCCATTCCCCATCCAACACGTAGTCCTAACCGTCAAAACCTGGGACAAACTCTGCATTCTCATCCCCTACTCAAGACACAAGCCACAACGTCCCACCAAGCCTGCTATCGCACCACCTACCCATCCCCTCCCCACAGCAAGGCGTCTGACGAGTATGCAGGTATGTAATATATATGCATACCAAATGTCGTGCACCCGCCCCTTTCCCCCGACAGGAAAACGGGACGTTTCCCCGAGGCCAAGGAAATGCGAAAGAAAACTGCACAACCTTGGAACCTCGCTGCAGACTTTCTTAGCCAGAAGGGATACAGGATTTGCGGGGCAGGACGGGTTCGAATGAGGAAGGCGAGGAGATGGTGTCATGCAGTGTTGAGATAGTTTGGATTTTTTTTTGTAAAAAAAGAAAAAAAAAGAAAGGATCGGTGAAAGGACTCAGGAGTATAGCGCCGCCATCCAGGCCACAATGTCCAACTTCTTGTCCGAATTTTGTCTTGCGCGGTGCGGTTTTGCAGGAGTGGGTGGGGTCTGGCTAAATTGTTGCATGTGTAATGCATTCGTGTGCCTAAACTGTGTCCAGCGTCTTTGTCCACACAAGCCCATGTGATGCTCCCAACAATCTTCCCCTGCATCGCATCGCACGGCAGGCTTATGAAGAACTATCCCCCCCTCCCCCCCACCCTATCCAAAACAAGCTCTCTCCCCATTCCCAAAACGCCATAATCTTCACAGCAAGCGCATCCACAGAATCTCCCTCAACACTTGATCCCCTCAAGCCCCCTCAAGCCCCCTCAAGCCCCTTCAACCCCTCCACCAACTTCCCAAACTCCCTTCACCCTCCCCTCCCC